AGGAGTTAATGGCTGTTCAGTGTAAAAACCCGGCACACTACAAGTACTATGCCGTTTTTTTACACTGAACCACAGTAAACTCTGTGACAGCTGCATGTCCCGGCCGCTGTGCGGGCATCATAGCCGTCCCCTGAAATCCCCCGCCCCCCGCTGAGTCCCCTGAGACGTGGCCGCCGCTGCTGCAGGCACGATCTCCTGTCAGCTCGGCTCTGCAGCTGAGGAGAGGAATCGCTGTACAGGCTCCTATGTTCCTCCGCCCATGTCTGCTGCTATTGGCTGGGAGGGAGAGTGCAGCACCGTCATTGGCTGCCTGGGTATTTTTCAGCAGAGCGGGAAGGGACCTGCTGAGGAGACACAACAAGGCTGCTTGGGGCTGCACATGGAGGAGACATTGATGCTTCCCCCTCCCCCACCACCACCTGGAGAGGAAGAAGAGGGCATGAGGACAGCGCACATCACCACTGCAAGTTCCTTTTCTATCTTACACCACTGACCTCCGCACTCCGTCACCTTGCTGACCTCTGCACACTGCGTCACCTTGCTGACCTCTGCACACTGCGTCACCTTGCTGACCTCTGCGCACTGCGTCACCTTGCTGACCTCTGCGCACTGCGCCACCTTGCTGACCTCTGCGCACTGCGTTACATTACTGTCCTCTGGGCACTGCGCCACATTACTGACCTCTGCGCACTGCGTTACATTACTGTCCTCCGGGCACTGCGTTACATTACTGTCCTCCGGGCACTGCGTCACCTTAATGACCTCCGCGCACTGCGTCACCTTACTGACCTCCGCGCACTCCGTTACCTCACTGACCTCCGCGCACTGCGTCACCTTACTGACCTCCGCGCTCTGGAGAGAGATGGGCACAGTGGCAATGGAAGAGCCAGATTTGGGGGGGCTTATTTTCTGGCAGTGCCCTTCCCGAGACTAGACTCTGGATACACCCCTGATGATCACAATATGGATTTAGACCGTAATATCATAAATGTTTGGACACTTAGGCTCCGTTCACACATAGCGGTAGGTAGCGTTTTCCATGCATTTTCTCTCCCGTTCATTGAAGGACACAGGGCAACAGATCGTAAATCCTGAATGGTAGGATATATCGCCACCTGCAGGAGTAGGACACTAGGCACATAACAAAAGACAAGACAGCCTAGGGGCGGCCCCTGCTGGTGGCCCAACCCCTCACTTGCTGACAAGTCTCCAGTTTTTTGCCTAGCGTCAGGAGTAAAGAGCTAAAAAAAATTCTCTGGAGAAATGTTTTTCCCTTCTTCCGTTTGACTCGATTTCTTCTAGCAAGTGTCCCCAGGGTGACATGCTGCATGACTGTAGATCCTTGTAGTCTCCCCTGGGTGACCGACGGGCTGCCTTGGTGGGGACTTAGGCTCTGGGGGAGCTTCTGGGGCCCCCTCAGTGGGGCGGCCTAATACGCGGCTGACGCTGCTCGTTCAGCGGCCACGGCCGCTACTCGAGGCCCCGGTCTGACTGCGGCCTCCAGGTGGTTCAGCGGCCGCCATCTTGGACTTCCTGGGCTTTCCGCCATGGGGCCTCTGTTTCTCAGGTTTGTAAGGCCGCTACTTGGTCTTCTGTGCACACCTTTGTTAAGTTTTACAAGGTGGATGTTTTGGCATCGGCGGATGCTGGTTTGGGGCGCAAGGTGTTGCAGGCGGCTATTGAAGTGTCTTTTGGGTGTTTGGTTGTTGTTGCCCATCCCTCAGTGTGTACTGCTTGGTGACGTCCCTACCATTCAGGATCTACGATCTGTTGCCTGCGTCCTTCAATGAACGGGAGAGAAAATAGGATTTTTGTACTCCCCGTAAAATCCTTTTCTCTCCGTTCATTGAAGGACACAGGTCCCGCCCTCTTTTATGGTGTGTACACTCCTAACTGCTTTTTACTTACTGGAGACTTGTCAGCAAGTGAGGGGTTGGGCCACCAGCAGGGGCCGCCCCTAGGCTGTCTTGTCTTTTTGTTATGTGCCTAGCGTCCTACTCCTGCAGGTGGCGATATACCCTACCAGTCAGGATCTACGATCTGTTGCCCTGTGTCCTTCAATGAACGGAGAGAAAAGGATTTTACGGTGAGTACAAAAATCCTATTTTTTTCACACGGAGAACTGTGCGGAACAAAATTGTGCAAACGTTAACATACGTGTTGATTCCGCATGTTTGAGGCTATTACTATAGCTGGAACATGCGAAATCCGCCAATAAAATCACACCTGGACTATTTTGCGGAGAAACGGACACCGGCCAATTGCGATGCAAAGAAACGTCTATTTATTGACGTGGTGCAGCATATCATACAAATGCTGGCCCCAAACCAGCATATAATACTGGCATAGTATGCTTACTGTGTCCCCAGTTATGAATGAGCAGGAAGTGCTCTACATCACTTCCTGTTCATTCATGATTGTGGACATAGTAACTGATACATCTCCTTAGTTTATGAATGGACAGGAGCACAAAGTATAAAGGCGTCCTGTTTATTCATAGCAGGGACTGCAAAAAAAGAGATTGGGGACTTTCTGTCCTCATCTCTATTTCTATTTTAAAAGGGAAATATTAGGGTTCTCTTTAGAATAATATATATTATTTTACACACACACACACCAATTAGCCATAACATTATGACCATGGTGAAGTGAATGACCTTAATTATCTCTTTGCAATGACACCTGGAAGTGGGTGGGATATATTAGGCAGCAAGTGAACATTTTGTCACTGAGGTTTATGTGCTGGGAGCAGAAAAAAATGGGCAAGCGCAAGGATTTGAGCGGTCAAGGGTGATTGATGCTTGTGTAGAGCGAAGGCTGGCCTGTGTAGTCCAATCCAATAGAAGAGCTACTGTAGCTCAAATTGCTGAAAATGTTAATGCTGGTATGGGAAGTGTTTAAGTTTTTGAAACCACCATAGTTTAACTCAGAGTCTGGGACATGTTATTTGTTCAAGTGCATAGCTTAAGGTGTAATTTTTTTTTTTGTGTGATGTGGAGAAGGTCTGGATGACGGAGAATCTTTATAGATTCTGTATGAAGCATCGTGTATCTAGACAAGCTCAGCATGTCTACCACTGATGGAATTGATGGTATTTTCTGAATTATTACATTTGATGGTGGCAGTCGTTGTTTGCAAAGGGTTAATTGTGGATCTAACTAACCCCAGTGATAAACGCTCTGCTTAGACTGTTGTCCCGCAAACTGTAAAGTCTCTGGGGCATGGGCTGGGACTGACAGTGGTATCGTCACATTCTTGAGGATTTTAAGACTGTCGCCGTCACACTCCTGATTTAGTATTTTTGGCTTCTTTTGAGAATATAAATCAATGTAGAAATGCCTGCTCATTGCACAACCATGGGGTAAAAAGTCCATTTTAAAATGATAACAATTTGTTATACTGATCCCTAATGTAGCAATCGGTTTTCCTCTATGTAGTGGTAGAAATTAACAGCTTATGGTGCCTGCAAGAAGTGGGCTCTAGTGACAGAATTGATCAACAGTTCACAAAATAAGGAACCAGTGAGAGCTGCAGGGGAACCAAAAGATCAATACTCCAGAAGTGTGGGGTATCATTTCTCAGCAATGGCAATCAGCAGCAGAGGTAAGTATTCTGCTTTTTCTTTACAGAGATGTGCTTGGTTGATCCTTTTTAATTATGTGACTGGGTTGCTTTGATAATAAAGTCATAAATACCTGTGATCATCTGTGATTAATTTCTAGCATTTAGAGTTTTTATTATGTATTATTTCTAAGAAACGGTGAAATGAATTAGCTATTCATTAGCTGAGTTAGCAATGAAACGCTAATGATCGCTCAGTTCTTTAGATTTATTTGGGTGATCCTCAGCAATTTAGCAGGATGTTCTCATTAACAAAAATTGCCCTAGCCTTAACATTGGCAAACCCCATTAACCTGAACTTTCATTCTATATAGAGATGAACAGCGAAGTTGAGGAGAAACTTCTTCACAATGCTCGAAATGGAAACCTGGAGGCGGTCCAGAAACTGCTCGAAAACTTTAGAAAAGGAGAAATTGTGGTTAATATTGACTGCAAAGGTAAGCAATTTTCTTTGTTTCTGAATAGTGAAAAAGCCTTATATAGTAATTATATATCAATGACAATAAAAAACATACCAAAATCCCGACAAATACTTTGCATTCCTTAGAGGTCATTTGTGTATTCCGTTTAATTTTAACTAGGGATGCACTGATACCGGTTTTTCAGTATCGAATACCGATAATTTTTTTTCGGTACACACCGATACCGGAAGTTCCATTTAAGGAAGCCAGGTGGCATGTAATGACTCCCCACCTGGCTTTCTGATTAGTCGGGAAGCCAGGTGGCGTGTAAAGACTTGCCACCCGGCTTTCCGATTAGCAGGGAAGCCGTCCCCATGCTTTCTCGTCACTAGGTGACAAAGCATGGAGCCGACTTTCTGGCCAATCAGGAAGCTTGGCGCCGTGTAATAACACGGCACCCGGCTTTCTGATGGGCCGGGAAGCCGGCTCCATGCTCCATCGTCATGAGGAAGCATGAAGCTGGCTTCCCGGCCAATCAGAAAGCGGGCACCGCATAATTACACGGCGCCCGGCTTCCTGATTAGCCAGCTTTCCGACCAATCATAAACCCCTTATCGCTGCCATCTATTCAAAACAAGATTACCTATAGCAGGGCTCAAAATTTCCACTCGCCTGCTCGCATTTGGCGAGTAAAAATAAAGCGAGCCGGTACTATGTGACCCGCAGCCAGCTGACATGTCAGGCACACAGTCGCAGACCGCGTACCTGACTTGCGGGAGCAGCTCTACGGTCTGCATCTGTATCGAATGCAGACCGCCGAGCAGCTCCTGTCAGCTCTGGCTTCCTTCGGCCGGAGCTCTGACAGTTCTGAGCTTCGGCCGAAAGAAAGGAAGGATCGATCCCTGGTTATCTGGGGATGACTAGTGAGGTCACTAATCACCCCCAGATAACCAGGGATCAATCCTGCTAAATGTGTGGGGGGGGGGGGGTTAATAAGAGGGAGTATATTATTTTATGTGTGGGGGGAGTGTATTATTCTTTGTGTGCGGGGAAATTTTATTATATTTGTGCGCTGTGGTGTAACGTTGACAAGTGTATTATTGTGCTTTAAGCTGGCAATACACCTTACAACCATCGCATGACTTGCGTTGAGCGATGGTTGTAAGCTCATTAAAATTTCGTACGATCTGCCCATCTTTGACAGGCAGATTGTACTTGCGATCATCGCAAGCCCTCCCCGCTGAGACGAGGGCTTCCGATGATTGCAGTGCTGAGCGGGCAGTGTGCGCTTGCGGCATTCGTCTTCCGACCACGCCACCAACCAGCCAAAAATTGTACAATTTTCGGCAGGTTTTCCAGCGTGCTCGGAAGATGAAAGTCGTGCGACCTTACAGTAGAATTCGTCGCAAGCTGCCCATACACCTGCAGATTATCGTACGATCGCAGGATCACCCACAACTAAAGTACGATAATTGGCAGGTGTATGGACACATTTAGTGTGTGTGTATATTAGGCCCCATTCACACCTATAGTATATTTCAGGTGTTATTAGAAATTCTTGTGTCAGGAACTTGCGTTTTCCTGCAGCAGGAATCCCTAATCTGCCGTTTACAAGCTGCAACTATCATAAGATTATTTAAGAGGTTGTGTTTGGGGCGGAGTTAAGGCAGGGGCAGGGTAAGGGTTAGGTGGGGCAACGTGTGGCTAGTAACTCTTAAGGCCTGGCTAGTAGCTCAGGACTTGAAATGTTGAGCCCTGACCTATAGTGTCCTATGTATAATCCTGTTCCAAAGAAACCGCTAAAAAGGTAAGACACATTTTTTGGGGGGAAAGTTCTTCCAGAAGTGGAAATTGACTTTTGGAAGGGAATCTAAGTGAGGTTAACAATCTTGTGTAATATTGTTTAAAAAAAATACCCTTTTCAAGTAAACAAATGATTTCTTCTCAGGGAAAAGTAAGTCTAATTTGGGATGGACGCCTCTTCATCTTGCATGTTATTTCGGACATAAAGATGTGGTAGAAGATTTACTGAAGGTAATGCACCAATATTTTATATTTTACATTTTAATGTGGTCTTCAGTTTTCTTTTGATATAAGTCCTCTTCATGTGGTATAAGGTTGGGGGGAAAAAACATACAAGCTATAAAGATCGCATTTCTCAGAACTGGAGCTAGTTTTTTTGCATGTGATCTGCTTCTGCTGGAGTACAACTGAATTCCTGCCTGTACTTGTCAGCAATATGTGTAACATTTTTTTACCTTAATAAAGGAGAACTATGGGAGAGTGAAATGTAGTCATCTCCATAGCTAGAGCCAACGTGTGACATTGCAGCTGTCACAAGCTGGCTCTATAGAACGCGTACTGAGCGATCACATACCGCTGATCGCTCAGTTCCCAATCTTCTCCCTGCAGAGAGTGGTGACTGTCAGAGAGAAACAATAAACCAATCACACAAGCAGGTAATCACATTTCTTGGGTGATGCTGTATACCAGCGTTGTTCAGAATACCATTATATCGCCATACAGGAACAATTTCAATTTTCTAATAGTTGTAGAAAGTTACAGTAGCTTCAGATTGAAAGGGAGAGGTAATTTTAATAAAATTGAAGCGTAACTTTACCCACCAATTAAATGTCTCCCAAAGTAGTTAAATATAAGTCATTCCAACTGTCAAGTTGCTGGTTTGCTGATTTCAACTCTCAAGCAAACTTTTAAGCTCTAAAATGGCTGGTGTCATAGCTGATCACATGTGCAACACCATGGCAACTGCAATCCAAAACAAAGGCTAAGATGGCATCACCTTGGCTGCAAGGGATAGGAGGTTGTAGTTCCTTTTTCAGTTAAGAGGAGTTTTCCTTTAAGAAAAAGGGATGTTCTTTCAAGCACAATGAGGTGTATGTTTTACATGCAAACAAAAATGGTTGCCAAGAGCTGCGAAAAAGGCCTTCGCCCCTAAAGTGACACTAAACTCAGGAGTAAGGGCCCAGTCACAACATCAAGAGTGCATTCCAGTATGCGTTCGGCCCCTGGAATACAACCCGGCCGGCTCCGTTTTTTGGGGGGGCGGGAGGGGCCATGGCGGTGCATTGAACTCAATGGCGCAGCAGCCACGCCACACTGCCCGCGGTGCGATCGCCGGCACCCGAATGCCTGGCACATTAGTGCCTGCCTTCCGGTCCAGTGCTTGCAGCATTTTTTGCAGATGGCACTGGAGTGAGCATGGCTGTGGTGCCTTTGAGTTTAATGCACCGCCACGCCCCCTCCCGCCCCCCAAAAAAATGAGCCAGCCGAGTTGTGTTCAAGGCCGAACGCACTTGAACGCACTCCTGATGGTGTGACAGGGCCCTTAAACGTCAAAAATGCATTCAAGCACCTTAACTATTAACAACAATGTAGCTTACTTATGTATCACTCAGCTGTAGATCCTCAAATCATCTCTGAATTGGTGCTGACACTTTCCTTCCTTCTGGAGGGTGGCTACTTTTGTTCCCCATGGTCCCTGTGTGTTTGTTGTAGCTATACAGTGTATATACGGTTACTGAATTACCTTGTGGCTATAAACATTGCAGTCTTGTCTAAGCCCAAACACAAACGTTTACCGCATTGCAGTTTACGAGTTCCAAGACGTGGTGGCTGCATTAGTTTTCATTTTTCAGGGTAAAAACATTTTTCAACAAGAACATGGGGGGGGGAGAGACTCTTGACCTTTACAAAAAATGCAATGTCCTTGTTACTTCTTGTAAGCACAAAGAACCTTATTTTCTTTGTTTAAACTACCAGTCCTATAATCCACCATGTGATGGAGAGGAACAAAGGCATGTGTGACAACCGTGGCTACCTCCATAGATACAGTGGGGGAAAAAGTGTAGACATAATGGGACAGGAAGTGTGTTATTTGCAGGATTACCAGGTAAGAAAACGAATGCAGCCACCACATCTAAGGACTCGTGAGCTGCAATATATTACCATTTTGTTTTTGGGTTTAGATACACTTTCAGTGGCAGAGTGTATGTTTGCTGAAAGAGGAATTATTTTTAACCTCTCTTGATACATGTTTAATTTTTGGTAGGTGGTTACTTTGACTATAGTAATCTTCACTTTTCTCCCAGGCAGGAGCTGACATTGGTGTTCTGAATGATATGGGGGACACTCCTTTACACCGAGCTGCCTTTACTGGACGTAAGGTGAAAAGCATGCTTTCTTACTGTAATGCAGCGTTGGTTAGTAGGGTGTAAGAAAACTAACGCAAAACTCTCATATGCTGCTTATGACTATTCTGCCGTGTGCTAAAAAACATATACAGGACATGTATCACCAAAGAGCTATAAGGTGCTAATGGAGTAGTCATTGTCCAACTGTTTAACATTAACATCTATAAGCAGTGACTATATTGTAGAAAAACAATTTCTGGTTGGTAGAGTCGGTACGCACCTATACTTGTTTTTATTTCAGTTGGTTAGTATGGAAGGTTGACACAGTGTGTGGAAAATAGAGGCAGCAGAGGGGACACTTGGGTCGGAACTGATTGTCAAAAAGGATTACAGTGTGCAGCTGAGAGGAGAAAGAGGCAGCATTAAGTTGATGGGGAGGGGCGAGCTGTAATTGGGAGGTAAGGTGGTTAGAGAGGTATGTACTATGAGCAGGGGGTTAAGTTGCCAAGGAGGGATGTGTTGTGACCTGGGTGGAAAATACTGGGAGAGGGGGGTAAATTCAGGGATGGAGATGCTATAAGTGGAGGTAAGAAGGTGTTGTGAGAAGGGGGAGACCTGGCCAAGGATGGAGATGCTACAAGTGGAGGTGAGGTGGGAGGTAGGTCCTGTGGACAAAGAGGAAAGGTGGGTTGCGATGCTGTAGGAAAAGGGTGAGCTGGATGAATGAGCTGTGAGGGTAGGTTAAGCTGGGACTGAGGTGCTGATGCGGGGGGCTGAGGTGGGTGGGAGGCAGATACTGTGAGAGTGGGATTAGAGTTGGCCAGGGATAGAGCTGCTGTAAGTTGGGTTTAGGTGGGTGCGTAGTAGGTGTTGTGAAAGTTGGTCAGGAATGGATTAAGATATTATGAACATGGAGGGTGAGGTGGGAGGGAGGGGGGAGTGTGGCGCTGTGGGCAGGGAAAGAGGAAGGGAGTGCTGTGAACAGAGGATCAGGTGGGTGGGTGGCACTTTTAGTTGAGGCGCGGGGGTTAAGTAGTTAGGAGTAATTGTGAATGGGGGGTGGCTGTGCTCGCAGCTCTGATCAGTTTACTTGGTCCAATCTCGACAGCTCTGTTTTCCCTAACAGCCAACCATACAAAGCCTGACCTAATTCCCACTCCTCCACTACCTCTCCACCTCCCTTACCATTCCAATACCAGCCACCCACCAGTCTCCAACCTGTTTTTTCTCCAACTCTCCACCTTCCTTGCTGCTGCAGGTTCAAATAAATGCTCTTCTGTACTTGAAGGGAGAACCCACAAGTGTGCATTACTGAGAGGTGATTGCGGCTCTGTTGGCAATGGAGCAGGACATCTTCTTTTTGTCCAACTTCAACGGTTCGGCTTGAGAAAGCAGCCATCAACCTGCAAAGCCTGCTTCCAGCTGGAGCAACCTCCGTCCCCTTCTCCACTGACTGGAGCCATTGGGGACACTGAGAGAGGTGTTTGGCTGCTGAGTGTTGGTGTGTGCGAGTTCTTCTCCTCCAACACAAAACTGCAATGCTTGCCAAACTTCACTGAACCCCTATGACAAGCATGCTGCCTTTTGACATGTGACATCACCCTATGCGCTTTATATGACTCAGCGTCTGAGGGTCGGAGGTTGAAGGAGTGGCCTTCATTGCTACCCCAACAGCCATCTTTTAAAAGTCCAATTTGAACAAATTGAAATTTTTTTTTTTTTTTTTTACTTTTGGGAGTAAAAGAAAGATTTATTTTTTATTTATATTGAAATGGCACCCCACTATTTAACCCACCTATCCTGTGGAATTTTGTAAAATATTATTTATTATTATTATGAACAGGCAATCAGTATATGAAGCTAAAACTATAACTTCATTATTCTTACTGTATTCTTCTTTTATAATATGTATAGGATAGGATGACATTTTAGGTATGTTTTGGAAGAGAGATCATTTATTATTAATAAGAATAATTTTGTTATTATTAGCTTGATGTTGTATTACACCAAGTAGCTTTGTTAATCAGCCTGAGCTTAACATCTCATATATTCATAAAGATGAGCAAGGAATATTTGGCTTAGAGTTGCGTGCAGGGCAGGGTGATCTTGGACATTTAGGTCTAAACACATGATATCTGCTGAATGGCAGTATTGGCTACTGAGAACTTACCCCTTCGAAAGAGATCTTGTGGCCAAAATTCTAGGCATTTGTCACATAGCCTGCACAGG